TCGGGTATTTCATTTAAAAAAATTCGCTCGATTCGGTTCGGTTCGGTTCGGACATTTTGCCCAACCTTAACCATTTGAGGTTAATTGTGTAGAATGTGTTGTTGAAGAATAATGTTATTTAACACTAGTGTAAGTTGCCACACTTTATATGTTCAATTAAATAAATCATGTGACATTACATTTAAGTGGATCTATCATTTAATATCATGTAATAACAACATAAAGTGGTACTTGATACTGGTGGTACTGAATATCATTATGTTTTTACAGCAATAAGGTGCAAAGGAACAAGAAATATATCAACCAATTTTGAATGTATCCAATGGAGTTCAAGGCTCCTAAATTGTAAGCAACGAACTTTTTGAGTTTTAATCGAAAATAAATTATGAAAATGAATTACAGGTTTTACCATTACCTTTGCTCGACGAAGTCACCATTTCTCACTGGCAAGTCTCCTAAGAATATTCCAATTCAAACATTCCACCCCCACAATATAGATGGAATTGATATCCAAACGCAATTTAGTAGCAACGCAAGGTCAAGACGGGTTGTCGTTAATTCATTCTAAATGTGATTGGATGTAATTTTTGCAACGTTTCAATGATCTTTCAGCATTCTCTAAAAATGGAATGGACGAATTCTAAAATTTTTAATAACAACCTATTTCAAGAGCAAGAGCATTTCACGTTCTATAGACTTCACATTTAAAAAAAAAAAAAAGGAATATAACAGGTGCAACAAATTTAAAAAATAGGAGGATGTATATCAATAATTACGAAACATATAAATATTTTAAATATGATTATTAGGCAATCAAAGTCGATATGTCCGAGTGGTTAAGGAGACAGACTTGAAATCTGTTGGGCTTCGCCCGCGCAGGTTCGAACCCTGCTGTCGACGTCAAATTTTATTTTAATCTTTAAATCCCTGCAGTTGAAAACGGTGCAATTATTAACAGTTGAGACTATTATTTTGCTTCTGATTGGCTGCTGCACCGGTGGGGTGCACTGCCGAATATACCATAAGTTGCGAATTTGTGAAACGTTGCATTGACATTTTCTACACTGCATGTTATATTGCTACCATAATTTGATCATAATTCTAGAAAGAATAAAAATATTTCCACAAGAAAATGTCGGCAGCTTAACAGTGACAAAAACATTACTACATATATTAACAAAATTCACATTTGGAGTTAAATTTCACATTAAAAATTAAATACAAGGGCCTTTTCTAAGAGTTAACATTGAAACTATACCTTATCGAACGTGAGAAATCAAGAGTTCATCTACTAACCTCTTTCGATTCTCTATCGTGGCACACTATCTGCTTATTGTTCGTTTTTGTGATCCAAATATATCGTTTTTTGGTTTCATTATCGTTATTAATTTAGTAGATAAAATGTTTAAATTTGACAATTAATTTAAAAGAAATGAATGATATGCTATACTTGAGTGATTAACAATGATTTTAATCTTATCATATTTTATTTTCTCAAAATCGGTGTATTGTACTGCGTGAGTACAGTTTATACGAAAGTTCGAATGTGGGGATAAGAGATTTATTTGCCCTTGTGTGTTGTACTTCGTGAATACATTAACGTATTACATTTATTTCCTTAAAAATCAATTTCGGGTGAATGATAAATTGGGGTCAAAGTGAGCTACTCGAACTTGAAATAGCTGGAATTGGAATCTGGTAGAAAATGGAAGTGTTCATCCCACATTGAAAAAAATTAGAAGCATTGTGTTTACTTAAATAGTTCAAGTTTGACACTTGAGTTTGTGCCCCGAAGAATACCAATCTACATATTAATGGGATTACCAATGGCCGCACATGTACACCGTCGCCCGCTGTCGAGCTTGAATATAGTCCTAGGTCTTAGAACATAATTTTCTAACTTCTATATAAAATTCTCAATTTTCAGATTTCATTCATTCCAAATTCTTGTGTAATATAATATTTTTTTCATTTCCTGATAGATAAAAACATTATTAGCCTCATTGGTCTTGTTGCTACTATTATAAAGCGTGGTAATTGTATCTTGAGGGACAAGTGCATAAAATTGCCTAACTTCAGTCCGTGACGTTATCATTTTAAGGAAAAATAGTCGAACTGCTATCTTACCCTATTTTGATTTAGTCGCATTCCGTTCTTCTAACTTCCTAATTTGTTTTCGGACACATAGAAACTCTATCCAAGTTTTAACAACATTTTCTACATTAGTGATGTTATCTAGTTCCAGTAATGTTTAAATGTCAGCATATCATATGTCCAATTGAATGAACTAAAAATTATTATATTTAATTGAACTTATATTTTAACGTTACAAGTACTAGTATCTAGACCAATGATAAACAACATTGATATTAAGTCCAAATTTGGCATGAATTAAAATTTGATAAAAATTTAAATCAAAATTAATAATTAATTTTAAAGAATTCATAATTTTTCAATCACATATTTAATCAACTTTTATCAAAATCTAAATAAAATTTTATATTAGTTACATTGGTTAAGCTCCTATTTGGTAGGAATTAAAATTGAATTTTCAATAAATTTTGATAAAAATTGATAAAATGTGTGATTGAAAATTTGTGAACACTAAAAAGGGCTAACGGCTCTCATGTGCCTTCGCCACGTCCTTTTTTCGCTTGGCCATCTGTCCCCTCACCCACCCCATTCCATTATACAACCAATATATCTACATAAATATATACACAAAACTGCCCACTTCAGAGATCTAGAGAGAGAAACAGAGTTCTAGGAATTAAAAAATTAAATGGTAGATTTGGGGCCGGTGGTGATAGCGGTGGTGCTGTTCGTGCTGCTGACTCCGGGGCTGCTGTGTCAGATTCCGGGGAGGAACAGAGTAATTGAGTTTGGAAATATGCATACAAGTGGCCTTTCTATTTTAGTTCATACTCTCATTTTCTTAGGGTTAATCACTATTTTCCTTATTGCCGTTGGAGTCCATATATACACTGGTTAAAAGTTCTGTGGTGAAGCACTGAGTTCTTGATTCTGTAATCTGTATTGTATTTTTTTTTTTTTTTTGCCCTTTTCTGAAATTTTTAGAGTTCTTGTTTGTGAGATATTATACCATAAGTATAATATATGAAAGAAATAGTTATTTTAGATGAAGTGCTCAGTCGATGAAAAGTGTGGAATTTGTGTGGGAGGTTGGGGTCTACTCACACCCCACGCATTAAATAAAAAGGTATTTGATTGCTTTCTTGATTCTAATAATAATAATAATAATTGTTTTTTAATCATTTTCGAAATTATTTAATGGGTCAACTAGCCAATNAATCACAATCAACTCTTATCAAAATCTAAATAAAATTTTATATTAGTTACATTGGTTAAGCTCCTGTTTGGTAGGAATTAAAACTGAATTTTCAATAAATTTTGATAAAAATTGATAAAATGTGATTGAAAATTTGTGAACACTGAAAAGGGCTAACGGCTCTCATGTGCCTTCGCCACGTCCTTTTTTCGCTTGGCCATCTGTCCCCTCACCCACCCCATTCCATTATACAACCAATATATCTACATAAATATATACACAAAGCTGCTCACTTCAGAGATCTAGAGAGAGAAACAGAGTTCTAGGAATTAAAAAATTAAATGGTAGATTTGGGGCCGGTGGTGATAGCGGTGGTGCTGTTCGTGCTGCTAACTCCGGGGCTGCTGTGTCAGATTCCGGGGAGGAACAGAGTAATTGAGTTTGGAAATATGCATACAAGTGGCCTTTCTATTTTAGTTCATACTCTCATTTTCTTAGGGTTGATCACTATTTTCCTTATTGCCGTTGGAGTCCATATATACACTGGTTAAAAGTTCTGTGGTGAAGCACTGAGTTCTTGATTCTGTAATCTGTATTGTATTTTTTTTTTTTGCCCTTTTCTAAAATTTTTAGAGTTCTTGTTTGTGTTAGATATTATACCATAAGTATAATATATGAAAGAAATAGTTATTTTAGATGAAGTATTCAGTCGGTGAAAAATGTGGAATTTGTGTGGGAGGTAGGGGTTCTACTCACACCTCACACATTAAATAAAAAGGTATTTGATTGCTTTCTTGATTCTAATAATAATAATAATTATTTTTTAATTATTTTCGAAATTATTTAATGGGTCAACTAACCAATAAAATATGATCGTTTTTAATTGTCCAGTATTAACAACTTATTACCACTAGCCATAAAAATGTAAATAATACTGGATCATGGTGAAGACAATTACATCTTTTTTCTGCCTATATAAATACACATCTGGATATTAAAAAATTATTACATATAAGAAATTGTATCTTTTTATTCAGAAAAATATTATACTAAATTTTATATATTTTCTGGAGTACACTTGAGAATTCTGAAAACCATTTGTGATTGCTGCACAATATGTTTCTTTGATCGTTGTATCCTGAATGTGATTGTCCACAAAGGCTGCAACAGTTATCGACAGAGAATTTCGCTTTAGAACATCATGCTATCATGAGACTCGATTAGTCGATAAATTTTATTTATGCACTTTACTGTATTACAACTAGTAATATTTTCTAACAATTTATTGGGTTTGTGGGATTTTGCTAGTTTCTTGTATTTTTATTGAAATTGTCAGATTTGTTTAGAAATTGGTTGTTTAATTTCTATTTTATAAATTTGCCAAATATTTTTATTTATATAAATTCGAGGCTGCGGGCAGGGGAATAGGGGTAGGATAGTAGTGTTAATCAGGTCGATTCAGGGTTTAACTGTTGTTAATGTTGCTACGTGTTTGCAGTGAGATTAAAGTGGTATTATTCTTGTTTAGGGTAAAATTTTAACCGTTCAAATTGCATTGGTGAAAGATGACGGCCCTACACGAGTAGGAACGAAAAAAGGTTTTAGTTGTTACATCAAATCACGTGGACGAAGGATTAGCACAGATGTTTTTTTGACATAAATTTGAAGAATAATTCTGTCATAGAAAATTGTCCGAAGGGTCCCATGTGAGTAAAATATTGAAAAAAAAAACAAAAAACCCACCACCCACTGTAGTGAGTGTTCTATACGTTGTTTTCTGTACAGAGAGCACATCTCAAATTTGAAAGTATTAGACGACCATGATGAAAAGATGAGAGAAAATTTAAAGTATTTCTTTATTTTCTTATTTGATTAGAGATACGAATGAAGACACATTTTATTCTCTCCTAATGTTAAATATACATATATCAAAGATAAAAATCAAATTTTTAGTATATTTTGAAAAAAATTGATGAAATGTATGATTGATAAAAGTTGTAGATCTCATAAAATGTGTAATAGAAAATGAGTTTGAAGAAAAATAAATTTTAAAAAATGCCCCCTTTAATATTATTGTGAATAATGGGAATGCTAACCTAATTATTTTCCTTTAAATCTCAACTGAAGCAGTAAAATAAGCTATATAAG